TATTCATGGAGGGCTGTGGCATGCTCATTTGCATGCTATAGCGCAACTATACCACATGTAAACATGTGAGAGTAGATGAGAGCATCAAGGCTAGTGGCAAGCGAAAACTGAGCATATGAAGGGCAGCACAAATCGAGGAAAGCTATCATGTGAGAAAAGGTAAATATTACTTGGAAATACATTTTCATTCTTGAAAAAGGTTTAACTTTTTCAATACCAATTAACCATAGGAACTAAAACTTGTTTTTGTTTCAAATGTCAACAACTTAAGTACTACTTAAAAATTCTTAGTAAACAATATAATAGATGTTTACTCTCTGCAGCAATAGGGGGGGGGGGTTTGCAAAATAAATCACGCTTTTTCCCCGAGAGTATAATAAAGTGAAATAAGATTTTAATTGAATCAAAAAAGTAATTTCAAGTATCAGTATTGCTTGATTGGGCCACCATTGTTCTCACGCACAAGTTTTAATCAATTTGCAAAAGATTTCAGCAATGCAACAAACATGTCTATTTTTTGTGGTTGTCTCTATGAGCAACATCAGTGAGAACAATCAAGGTTTCATTGTTTGTCTCTCTCGCATTCAGGCAAAGTTTCCGACATTTCTTCTGTGCATTGTTGAAAGAAACTCTGACATTTTCGATGGTATTTAAATCTGGAGAGTTCCAAATCCACATTCCACCACTTTTTCAAGGACCACTTTTTCAAATTCAACAATTCTGAAACTTTTGAGGCATTAATCCGATTTTTTCAAATCTGGTATTGCGATGTGTTGATTGGATGACTTGAATTCTCGGAGCATGTTTCTGAGCCATCCTGAAGGCAGCACGTGCTCACACGAACCTGAGTTCTAGTGAGCACCATGATTCAAAAGTTTTCACAAAAAAAGTATGTTGAAATGACATTTTCTCATGAGTGATGATATTCACGATTCTACCCAGTTCGTCATTACTTAGGGGAAAATGTGTGATTTATTTTGCAACACCCCTTATGATAATATACTAAAATAGTGTGTGCTTATGAAGATAAAATACCTTGTTTCACCTGTATTTCACCTGTACCCACCACATAAGTGTTTTCAAATTTGAAAAGTAAGCTAAACCTGCATCTCAGTCATGTTGCACAATGCCTTCACTATAAATTCTTCAATCTATGTTCTTTGTTTAGAGTAAACAAAAATTTGTTGTCATTCATAGGTATTGAGGTTAGGTAATTTTACTGGCCAAGGAATGTGACTTAAGTCACTGTCATACCCTTCGAACTTATTTTGAACAATAAATCATTGTTGACTGTTGCATTATCACTTTGGAGGAACCCTTGACTATCAGGTTGGAAATGCAGTGTTGTTGCAGTGACATGATTGGCAAGAATATTCAGGTATGATCTGGATGTTATTTTCGTCTGTAAGTAAAGCAGGTGTTCTAATCTTTATCACAAGAAAGTTTACCAGACATTTGTATCAAGTTCAGCAGCTTGCACCATCAGAACCACACAAACAGTGCTTCTTATGCCTTTCTCCATATTTTTGCATTGTTGTCAATGCTGAAAAGAGTGAAATGTGACTTAACAGACTGCATCAGTCATTCATTGTTTGTGGTTTACTTTCTACACACCACTGAAGTGATGTGTTTCTGCTGTCTTCTTGAATAACCAGTTTCTGGAATAGTAGTCAGCTTTCACATGACATTTTGTATAAAGACTTTTGCATGGCATGGTTTAAGGTATTTGAATTCTGACCACTGTTGAAGGAACCAGTCAGTTGGAATACAATTTGATGTTTTTGCACTTTACAAGACATCTTTTCACTTGATCTGTCATAAAATGGCAGATACGTTCTCTGTCAGTTGGCACTGTTGATATGTTCTTATAACAGAAGGTTTTCAACAGCTGATCAAAGAAAGCATCTTTGATAATGATGCTCCTATTGGATAGGTACCCAGTTATCATACCTCTCTGAAAGTTTGACAGAACTTTGCTCCTACCCATTGTTTTACAGGCCTAAGATATGACTTTATATCTGCATTTATAGGGCTCAAACATTCACCTGGCAAAGCATATAATTGGTATATTATGAATATAAGCAAAATACAATGTTCTATAAATGTGTATGTTTAAGGAGAATTCTAATCAATTGTGTAGTTAGTGTATTAACAAATCTTTTATATGTGGATTCAGGAAGCTAGTATAAAGTATACTTCTGTACTTTATGATGTCAAGTATTAATAATAATGAGCTACTTGAAGTTACAATAAAATTCTTTTTATGCACACTTTATTAGATTTTAGAAGTAATATTAAACCATGCTTGTATATGTTGAATGTAAAGAATAATGTGCTGTAGAAAGCTGTGCACAATGAAGTCACACTTTAAGGATAATGTGTTCCAGGAAGCTAGTATCAAAACATACTGTGTATGTAATTTAACATCAGATTTTCAAAAGGTCTCAGTATGTTATGAATTATTAAGGGAAGACTTGCTTTTATAAAAGTGAATATTGTTAGTTTAGTAGACCATCTGATGTTATCTTTAAGTGAATATTGTTAGTTTGGTAGACTATCTGGTGTTATCTTTAAGTGAATATTGTTAGTTTGGTAGACTATCTGATGTTATCTTTAAGTGAATATTGTTAGTTTAGTAGACTATCTGATGTTATCTTTAAGTGAATATTGTTAGTTTAGTAGACTATCTGATGTTATCTTTAAGTGAATATTGTTAGTTTAGTAGACTATCTGATGTTATCTTTAAGTGAATATTGTTAGTTTAGTAGACTATCTGATGTTATCTATAAGTGAATATTGTTAGTTTAGTAGACTATCTGATGTTATCTTTAAGTGAATATTGTTAGTTTAGTAGACTATCTGGTGTTATCTTTAAGTGAATATTGTTAGTTTAGTAGACTATCTGATGTTATCTTTAAGTGAATATTGTTAGTTTAGTAGACTATCTGATGTATCTTTAAGTGAATATTGTTAGTTTAGTAGACTATCTGGTGTTATCTTTAAGTGAATATTGTTAGTTTAGTAGACTATCTGGTGTTATCTTTAAGTG